AAGACTAGGATCTTGCTAATTTTTTTGTAAGTCACTAATCTTTTCTGTAGGTCATGTTTTTCTGTAAGTCGCATTAAAAAAATTTAAGGCTTAGTCTCTAAATACGATTTCGTAAGGGTATCAATCTTTCAACGTTTAATATCGCTACATTTTAGAACGTCTCTTTGTAGAGTTAACATCTCGCTTAAAAAAATCGAAAATTTTATCAACTGTTCTATTTAGCACCTATTTAATGATTTCTTGATTTTAGTAACAGTTGATATTGTTGAGATAAAAATAATTGACATTTGAAAAATATAAAGAAGCACACTGTAATTATTAAATCATTAAAAGAGTAACTGAGCAGTACCTCATACTTTATTAACAGGTATATACGGTATGTATCCGCGCTAAATAAAAAATTTATTTAAATGTATTTAAATAAACTAAAACTATGGATAAAATATATATCAAAAACTATATAGAGCTCTTCGTGAATTAAACAATTTTATTTATAATTATTTTTTTTAAACATAAAGTGTCATAGAAAAGCACCTCATATGTTAAGTGTTATTTTTTTCAACAATATCAACAAAACTTTAATTTATTAATTTATTAACTTTTAAAAATTATGAAATTATTGCAAATAGAACTGTAGATAAAACTTTCGAGTTAACTTTTCAAAAGTTAACTCGAATTAATTTCACAGAGATCTTTACTTACTGATGTCGTCTTTAGCATAAGAATGTTATAAAGAAATTTACGTAAAAAGAAAAAATAGAAGTGCCTAGCGATATAGTATAAATAATATAATATTGTACGATACAAGAAAACAACATACGTATGATAAGGATTAATCTCTAAATAAAATTTATATATACGATTCCTATATTTGTTATAAAAATATATTAGATGTTGTATCTGAGTAGAAACGATGTACATAGCTATGTAATGGTGTCGGACTAGGGAAAATTCTCGTGCGTGATCTCGAAGGGTCGAGACGTGGAGTGCGGCAACGTGACTGTTGTGCATTCTGCTATCTTCCGCGATCGTAATCACGGATGTACGCGGGGCTGAACGTAGTTATTTATAACGCCTTTGAGACAGAACGTGGCGGAGTATGCGGTGATGATATTGCATATCAAAAGATGGAAAGAGAAAGAGAGAGAAGGGAGAAGTGGAGACTGCCAAGAGACCTTTGTATAATGGATAATAAACAGGCAGCGCAATTAACACGTTCTACACGAAAAGAGAAATTATTATTGATTGCTGCAAAAAATTTGACGTTGTTATGTTTCGCTTTTAATATTAAACAAAAGTAGTATAAGTAAAGTGTAAAAAGGAATATTCAAAATTTGTAACGGTATAAGATAATATTTCTGAAATTTTGACTTCAACTGTTTTTAAGACATTAATCTTTTAACCGATCAAAATTGGGTAGATACTGAAATATGTACTTGTTTGAAAACGGATAAATTGTAATTAATAGATTAATGACAATTAAATCTTTAATTTTAGAATTTTCTGAATAAAAAATGAAATAATAAAGATAGGATTGATTTAATTATTTTGAAAAATATTATTTTTATCTCCAATTTGCAAATTTTCTCGTACTTTGTTACTTAAGTAGTACTTATTGATCTTTTAAGCATTCAGCTGATGTATTCAGCTCTTAAATTTTAAGAGTTGTCAAGAATAGTCAAATAAAAAAATGTATAAATTCGAATTAACTTATTGAAAACGTGTTTTATGAGTTTCTATTTTTATCTTGCTTTAATCCATCCATCATAAAATTATCAATAGATTAATACAAATATTACAACTAATATTAACGGAAAATGCTATTTTCCTCTTTCGAAAATAAAGTTATCATTGGAATATTTTTCTCGCTGTTATTAAAAGTTTAGATTTACTTTCCGTTATCCATTTTGATCATTTATTTGCTAGCTCATAAATCATCTAATCCATATTCATCTAATTTGTTCATCGGTCCATTTACTTATCAGCACTTATGCAGCAAGTATGCGCTCGATAATGTATCAGCTTTGAACCTGAAATACGTTAACCTAGGTAGCGGACTTGTCTAACATTCTTATGTAAATTTATTTTTAGACTGTTCTTTTATTGATATACCGATTAAATATTGATAATAATAATCTTTTTCGAATCAACATAATAAAAAAGGGAATTAAAAATCCTGCGGAAAATAAAGACTTTCGCCAGAAGAACGCGTGCAAATATTCGCGTCGCGTTTATTGTTGAGTAGGTGTGCTATTCATAGGTTAGCGTTACAAATCGCGATAAAAACGGGTTTCAAAAGACTACGTCTTGAGTGCGTACTTAACGGAGAAGTGCGTCTCACTCTTTGTACTCGTTAACGGACGAGTAACCCTTCCAGCATGACAAAAGTCGCGCCTGTAAAGGGCAATATTTTACTTAGGGCGGAGGAGTATAATCACCGGTGTTATTATGATTAATTAAGAGATCAAGGAAAGAGAATGATAGAAAAATGTCTTGAAAAAATGCGTGTGTTAAATTAATGACATGTAATAAATAATAATAAATAACAATTACTAAAAATAGTAAATTGCTATAATATATTTCTAGGAGTAAATTAAAGACTGAGAAGGTTAAAAAAGACAAATTGAATTGAGTTTTTAAATAAAGATGAATTGCAGATTTTCTCAAGGCAAAACAATTTCTTTTGCAGTCAAAAGTTATGAATAAAAATTGAAGAAAAATATTTCTCTTACATGTAAATTTAATATGATTCTATTTGTCGAAGTATAAGAAGGATTCGCCTCTAATCTATTGTGGAACGATACGAAAATTAGTTTATATTTGTGTACCATGATAAGTATAGTATTTGTTATTGTGATGATAGATTGCGGTGGCAATCATAATCTGTCTGACCCAGATGACACCTAGAAATTCTAGAAGAAGATTATGAAACTACGGTCCTAAAAATATAAGTGCAGTTATCGCTTTGAAAAGGGAAAGATACATAATCTGTTTGAAGTTAAGAGGTTAAATCCAATAAGATTGGAAAAACAGTTTTAAGGAAAAATGGCAGTTGTTTCACATATGGAAAAAATACATATAGGTCTATTAGAAATAAAACGCTCAACTGTCAGTTTTCTTTAGAAATGGGTGAAAGGGCGTTAGAAATAAAATGCTCAAATATCTGTTTTCTTTGAAACAGTTAAAATTACGTAAAATAAAGGTCAAAAGAGATACTTATTAAGTTTCCTAATATAATTAGGAGTTTATACTAGACATGAAATGTCTATATATTTTTTTCTCTCTCTTTATTAGATAAATTAAAGAAACAAAAGCGCCGCGTTTCTTTGAATGATCTTCAGTCCGAGGCTGCGTTCATTCACACCGCAAAGTTTCTCGGCAAACATTGTAAAACTCGATTCGTTATCTTCACCATAAACGTGCTGTTACGGTGCGGCGCTTAAACAATTAATCCACGGTCGGCGGTTCGTTAACTTCGCGACGCTAAAGTTTGCGCGCACGGTGGATAGTAGTTTCGTTATCATCTTCAGTTTACACACACACACACACACACACACACACACACACACACACACACACACACACACACACAGAGCACCACAAATTCCGGGATCTTCAGGAACGGACGAAGGCATGAAAATATCTTGGACAGCTTAGGGGAAAGAAGATGCATAGTCGGTATGATTACACTAAAAAAGATAATATCTCACTTAATCAGACGTTTAAGATGGGAAAAATAAGGTTTAAAAAAATGTTATGATGATTAAAAAATGAACTGCTGAAGATTTCACGATGGTTTAGTCTGATTATCTCATCTATTATTTTTAGAGAAATAAGTTTTTTTTTTTAATTAAAAAATCCCAAAAACGCACATGGCAAATAACTTTCTTCTCGAGAGTACTTCGAGGAGTTATTCGCTCATAGATGAGATTTCTTCCTTTTCCTTCCTTTGAAGATAATAACCTTCAGTTGTAAGACGTGCGATAAATAGACTCGAATCGGGTGAATTTTTTTGTCATTACAAAACGCCGCGTTGCAATAGGATAGTATTTATGGCGGCGTTTTACGAAATCAACTTCACCTTCGGGAATTAACGCGCGTAATTTATTTTCCGCCGCGCTTCCTTCGCGTCGTGCCGTTGCATCGTCGCGGCTCGCAAATGCAATCTAGCCGAATGACGTTGCACTATACGCGACGTCGCTGTGCCACATGGTGCGGCGTGTGATACTTATGAATGAGAATTAAAGGCCCTGCGCGTGTGAAACGATATGCTCAACGATATGGTCAACGAGGCGAATACCGAGGCGACCGGAATAACAAATATACCTGCCGCTGATATTATTGCCCTTATCGCTATTCTCTTAACTCATTCTCATTCTCTCTTTGTCACTATATCGCGCATTGATACCGTGGCACGAGATTTCATGCGACTTATTTCGCGAGGGAAACACATTTATATTTTAACATAGCTCATACAGTTACACAGACGTGCGTACAACATTGACAACATGAAAAATCAATCGTCCTTTGCAATTATCTGTATACTTGACGTTTCAGTTTTTAATCATAGATTTATCAATAATTAAGAGACACGATTGTATGAAAAAGGGCTTCCACTTTTTCTTTACTTTCTAGTACCTTAATTAGTTTGATCTTGTTTCGTAAAGTCCATGACTTTTCATCAATTGTATTGATTAATAAAGCATAGGAGTTAGATTGCAACGATTGAGACAAGCCTTAGAGGATGAATCAGCATTGATAACGTGAGTACGTGGCGTTTATAAGAATCAAAATACCCGTCTCTGCTATCATTGGCACCTACTCAGGGAGGAGGGATCATTCATTGAGAAAGAATTACAATCAATTGTAATTCTTCCAGTGCTTCGTTACATTCATACTTTTCGTGTACGTTTTGTATGAAGAACTTGTTTCTATCCGCTCACTTCACGTATGCGAAGAAGAGATAAGTTTCTAAAAATAGTAAATTTTCTGTGTTACAGTTGGAAGAATTGAGCTCACTTTAAGCCATCTCATAAGGCGTAATTCTATCATCCAGTAACCAGTAAAAGGAGCTAACCTGAACCTAAATCTCTTCGTTCCCGGCAATTCACAGAATTGGACGTTGTCCTCACAGAGAATTCGTCGTTACTGGTAAGATTTTATCAAAATTTGCACAACTACAAATTTCTAATTATTTTTAATTAATATATTATTAAGGTTAATATAAAGCGTGGCGAGTACGGTGACTTCGCAACACTTTTTGCAGAGTTGAAGGAAGATGCTGATCTCTTCTTTCGATATACCAGGATGAATGTAGATACATTTAATGAACTACAAATGGTTTCACCATATTTATAGAAAACAAGCAGGAGAACTTCGATTTGCCCTGAACAGCGGCTTGCAATAACACTAAGGTAAAACATGATTGTATTAGGAACTATTACATATATTTTGAGCATATTTTGTGTCAATTTTATGAATTTTGATGTATGAATGAATTGAATGGCTAAAATCTCGAGATTTCATATATACGATAGTAATTTATTTTATGATTGCTGAAAACAAACTAAAAGTAAATATACACAGCTTTTGAATTTCCTAGATTAAATTTTTTGTCGGACAGGAAAAAGTTCGTTTATTTACTTGTTTGATTAAAATCATTCAGTTGGAGCACGCAATAGATCATTTAAATCGAAACGTATTAAATGTGTATAGAATGTGAACGATCTAACAGAGTAAATTTTCCTGGCTAAATTTTAGTCTATACACACTAATGTATATATGTACATCATTGGCGATTTATCGGTTGGTCGAACGTATGCAACTGGTGTCATTATCGTGGCTTTGCCACGGTTGTCGTCGTACAGCTACATCGCTATTTCAAGATTAATACCACTGAATGAGTCTATTAGCGGATAAACATTTGTTTACGATCAACGTCGTGCGTCCATTTATTTTGCGTCATTACCGAATAGCGATACTCGATTCAAGTGATGACTGGTCGACTCTCTTGACGAATAATCTTGCATCATTTATGTACCTGTGTCTCGAGATGTCGCGATTCGATTTGACATTTATCCCAGCTTTTTTTGATCTGAGTTTCCAAATTTGAATCAGGATCAATTAAATGATAGAGATTTAAACTATTCGCGACGTGCGGATTTGAGGCATTTCTTTAAGTCTGATTGTGAGACTTGTCTGAAACGATATTTAATGATTTTACCGATACATTTAGGAACATTCCAGAAGATTTCTTTGAAACCATGACATTTTCTTATCTTTAGAAATTTCTACTCTTACATCAAACTTATCAGCTTTTTTTTTGTGTTTTCTAAATATAATCTTTTACATAAGAAATTGAAAAAAGTGAATGATAAAATTATCAGAAATAAAACAGATAAGAGTAGCCGCAGTTGAAGCTTTGATTGGAATTAACAATTATTAATTAGTTAGTTAAAATTAAAGTTTCTATATATATAAAATAATAATAAATTTAATAAATTACATGCAGTTTGCGTTGTTAAGTCTCAGTATCTGACGTCACCCGGTATATAGAAGATAAAGTGAGTGATACACTTTTCCACTTTCTCTGCGACCGAGATTGCACGAAGCCTTGAGCATAACACATAACAAAGCAAAACTTCGCCTTCATCCTATCCGTATACACGGTGCTCCAGAAAGATTGGGACAAAAATTTCGAGATTTTGTTGAAAAAAAAAATGCCTATTTATTCTTTCTATTTTTAAAAATGATTTATTGTGTCTGACACATTTTGTAATATTTATAAATCTATAAATCTATTATAAATTAGAAAAATTACAAGCTTATATGTATAAGTTAAATTATATTATGAAGATTTTCTCTCAGAAAATTTTCGTATTAAAAGTTAATTAAGCTATGGTGAGAGGCGTATTATTTATTAATCTAATTATTCAGTTATTATTCAATACGGTTAATTTTCCAATTTTATTCTTGTTCATAAATGGGTAAAATTGAGAATTTTGGAAAAGTGTATATATCGTAATATATTAAAGTTGGAAACGATGATAGTAATCTAATTTATTGGATAATTCTTGATATAATTGCACTCGATAACTTCACGTTCGATAGCGAAAATGACAAAATATAACCAACTGCGATATTAGCGATATTAGGCGGTGCCGACATGATGTCATTATTGTTTATGCATCGGGATGCGTCGCAGGTCTGTCTACATATCGCGATGATTGAAGTCGTCGACCTAGTCGGCGTCTGCCACGTGCGAAAAGTTTGTATCACCTCCCATTATTTCGTGGCGCAATATACATATATTTAATCGCTTTAATCACGCATATGAAAAATCGCAGATGACGCGAGAGCTGTCGCATAAATAAAATATTAAACGTATTTTTCCATATAAATTAATTTTCAAAAATAAAAATGTCCCTTAGAGCGAAACATAGTTAATGGAGCATAAAAATAATTTTCGTTTACTGGTAATTTAAAAAATACGCAAATTTTTATATTGTATATTAAATTAATTTTGTGATATATAATAAAATCATATTTAATTAATAATAATAACTACGACTGACGTGCAATAAGTTATATATACGTAGATTATTTATGCGTTTCAATCTGGTAACTGTCTATAAAGAGGGAAAAAAATATCGATACAAAAAATTATATCTGTTTGTGTGATAGCATACACTATATTTAAATTCATTTTACTTCTGTGGCAGAGAAACTTTACGAAACTTTTATGATTAATGTCAAAATCTGAATGATCAAAGCCAAGACTGGAATATAAATGATTTCATTATCATTCGCCATTGTTCAAATCGACGCATTAAGCGTCACGTATACGCTGTAGAATGCACATTATCTCCCCTGCATATATGAAACCTCAAACCTCTTCGTAGGGTTCCTTTCGCGAAACATTTTTGTAATACAATTGACAGCATCGTTATTTTTTCAAATATCAATATCTTATGAAAAATTATGATATAATTATAAAATATAAAAAAAGATATTTACGTAGTGGACATGGATGATCATAAATGTTTAACAATCTCATTACTATCATTAGGATTATTATTAACATTATTATAAACATTCTACTTTCTAATTGTGCCTGTAGGTATATTTTTCGTGGCCTTTTTCGACTCTTGCCTGTTATCTGTATTGTCCACATCAAAGTATCGCGTTAAATCGCGATCCGGCCGCGGTCGACGTGGTCCGCATGAGAGCCGCTGTGCGTTCCCATTTCTCCTTTCAGCGCTCGGTCGTTCGATCCGCGGTTGTATAACAGCAATGAAAGTACTCTTACGGGCGACGGCCAACGTCACGCGTCCACATCCACGGCGGGCGCACGTTCGTCGTGTCCTTTGGCCGTAAACCGTCGTATCCGTCGTCGTCTCGCGATCAGCCGGTCTCCTCTCGCGGTCTCCCCCTCAGCCCCCGTCCGTATCTGAACGAGGACGTAACGCATCCCGATGGCACGCGGTACTCCAATACTGGAGCAGTCACGCTGCGGTTCTCCGCGAGGTGCAAGTCGGAATCGAGGTAGTTCACCTTGCAGCAATCAACAAGATTAAGCATCCATTTTGAACCGAGGGATCTTAGATGATTACTTACGCGACAAGTATTTATAACAGACATTTAGGAGCTGCAATGTACTCAAGACAGCAGCAGACGGTATTAATATCGAGAAAAGATGGAAACTACTTTTTCTCACTCATTCTTCTCGCTCATCTCTCGTTTCTCGTTTCAAAGATGCACGTTTTTCTATGCATTTTTCAATAGATTTTTTGAGACACGCGCACTCTCTTATCTATTTTAATAACGCCGAAAGACTAATAATTTTATGTCCAAGATATTAATAGGAAAATTATAACGGTTAATTAATATAACGGCGATATTAATAATAAATTAATATTGTCAAGCGAAAAGAGAAGGGGAGAAATGGAGGAAGAGCGAAAACTGGAAAAGTATATACATTTTTATCTTATCGAGGAACTCTTGATTCGGCAAGTCTCGGGGTACGCGTGCATTTTGAAGTGGCACTATCGTTTTGATTATCTTGCACCGAGACGATACGCAAGTGCAACGTGCGATACGGAATGCCGATATTGCGGTCGTCAGGTGATTTGATTTGGGTCAATACTTTGGCGCGAATACCGCGGATCGCGCATAAAAGTGCAGCTGTTGCGTATTTTCCAATCAAGCGTTACCATATGCCGGTCCGATAAGATAGCGCTTTTCCTCGTGATAAATTTATTGAACCTAGAGCGTACCGCCGAACGTGCTCCACGGTACTTTTTTTTTCTTTCTTTTTTTTTTTCCCCTAACAAGTCTCGCTTTTTGCAGCGCAAATTTTATTTGAAGAGCGCTTATATCGGAAACAACGCAAATCGATATTTCGACGGAGCGAGCCGAGATAAAAAGAGACTCGCCGAACTTACGGTAGCGATGTCTTTTTGCGCGGCCGTAAAACATCGTAAAATTGTAGGAAAAATCAAAGAAGAAACGTCCAGTTTTACATTTTTACGGTAGAAATAAACGTAGTTGTAAACACACTCGCGTCCATTCCGTTCTCCGTATAAAAAGTTTAGCGTCGCGAAAATCACCGTTCATAGAATGATTAATGATAATTATCCATGCCGTTCGTTTATTCGTTCATCGTATCGGAAATTAATACCGGTTCTGGAGAAAAGTTTCTTATTTCAATAAGCTAGATAAGGCTAATAATTTTTGTCAAGACGCAATTCGAGGCGAAATGGTACGACACGTCATTTCTTGTTTTCTACGTCGACGACTTTATCCGTCGACCTCGCGGAGGAACGATTACTTAAGGTCAAGCGCACATTTGCGCTCGCACGCAGAAAACCTCGTCACTAATTATCTGTGCCTCGAAGATACGACAAGCCACGATAGGGTTAAGGTTAACTTAAAAATATAGAAACCTAATCTAATATAAAAAATATATGTATAAACGTAATTATCTTCGTCAATACAAAAACTCATATATGCTAAAGAAATTAACTCCTCAACTATTAAAAATTAACTTCTTTTCTTTTTTTTTTGCGAATTGCATGCGAAATTTAATAGTTGCAAATAAATTTATACGTTTCGTGTCGATCACACAATTACTAATTAAAGCAAAAGCTTCG